TCTGAATGGGACAAACTGCTTTTAATATTCACTTAGCGTTGACATTTTGGATAACACATCAGATTTTTTAGGGACATGCTAACGAATGTCTTAGTGCTAGTTGCTTGTACAGCTATTGTGTAGGTATTGTATACAGCAGCTAATTTAAGTTTTTTTTTGTTGTCAGCACTGATAAAGTCCTACAATCAATAGGTCATACACTGTATATTCTTGCAAACAAGTAAAATCCAACTGCAAACAACATAGACCATGATCTCTCATAGAATAATTTACTGACAGATCAGGGTCCATGTATGTTTTATTGATTATTTCTAACAAACTGCATAAAGACCTGTCAGTGCTTCATATGACAGCAAATCTGGGCCTGCAGTTTTGGAGTTGGGCTAAAGTTAAAAGCATCTGTTGGTATACAGTATGTGGTATCAGTTGAAGGCATCAGTAGGCTCAGTTGCTTGGTCAGCTGGTTCATCAGCAGCTTCCATGCAGTTCAGTGTAAAGATCTTAGCATCATCTCATTTTGTATGTATATGTTGATTAAATAAAACTATGATTACAGTCTTTATTTTGGTCTTAATCTGGTACCATTTTGTTAAAGTTTTTTTTCTCTTTGTGTGAATCATCAAAAGATATATTTGCCAAGTTGTGATATTAACAATTTGAATTACCTCCTGTTGTTGTCATCAAAGGAAAGAATTGTTGTGTGAATTGTGTGGTTGTGTGAAGCCCAAAAAGGTTATTACAAGGTTGTTAAACCCATTTCTATAAATGTTGGCTGGTGTATGATATAGTATTAACTGTAGTACTACATGTTATAATGTACTATATCCAGCATCCTTCTGAGTAAAGAAAACCTGACATCTCAAAACAGGCATGGAAAATATAAATCTCACTGCTTAAATTACTGCATGTATATATAATGGTTTTGAACATGTATTAGATGTAATGTGGCTGCTTGTCAGGGTTGGGGATTTTGACATATTTGGACTAAAATGCTTGCCACATGTCACATCAAATGGGTGGCAGCCCACAAGGAGTATTTTTATAAACAATCTCAATGGTGTCAAGAAAACTGACCATGTGGATAAGTTGGCCTTTGGTAAGGAGGTGGGCCATATTCAATTGTGACCACTGTACACCCTCCCACTTGGGCTCCTGGACCCTGGACCCAGAGTAGAAGTGGTGCAAGAGCTCATTATTCAGTGATCAACTCTTCGTCAGCTGTATCAACTAGGAAGGCTGGAGGTATAATTTAATCCAGGAAAGACAAGCAATCTTGCCTTCCTAGAACTTCTACCACACAGGTAGCCTCTACTTGCCATGATATGTGTAACGGTACAGAGTGCTCTGTCACTACTTCTGAAGAACAGAGCAGTGCCCAGCATCTCTTGTCCAGAGTGTAATAGAAAATGAAACCTTGTTCATCCTCATTGATGGCAACAGTTTGGAAAGGACCTTTGGGACATGACCACAACCAGATCTCATGCATCTTCCTCATTTCTCCATGATTGAGGAAGTATCCTTGAGGTTTTCAACAATCCAAGATATTACTGGGTGATGTTGAGTGGTCAGTTATTGGGTGATGTTGAGAGTGTTCAGTTCCTGGATCAACCTAGAGACCTATGATCTCAGCTTCGAGTTACTGGGTACAGCCCCTGAAATGGCCCATTAAATCACCCAGACAGATGCAGGGTTGTTCCAATTGGGTATCTCAGTTGGCATGCCTTCCCATTAAAACAGTTGAAACCATTGAGCAGAAAGTCTGCCTTTTGGGCACCATGGCTTGTCATGCTGACCTTTTCTCAGCTATTTCATTTAGCATGCAGAAAAAGGTGACATTGAATCGAATCATTACAACACATGCATAAAGCTTTGGCAGAGACATCTCGGCATGCATTTTCTGTTGCAGGAACATTATAAGTAGAACTTCTAAATGATGTTGCATTAGACTCCTTAAAAGCCTTGCTTAATTTCAGGAAAGAGCTTCAAAGAGCTGTTCCATTGGAAGGCAAGAACCTCTTTGAAAGACCCATCAATAATGTGGCATCAAAAAATTTCAATTATCATCTTGTTTGAAATCATTATCCCAGCTACTTAGCCGATAAAGAAAAAGGCAGGAGAGGGAAAATTTCATAATTGTCTTGGATCTATTCTGTTCATTGTGCTCTTTTATCTGTTTTTAATTTGATCAAAGTAAGCAAAATGCAAGATGTCTTTTAATGTTTGTATATTGTATGTGCAAGTGCCTGCTAGCCAGTCTTTGTGTCAATTTTATACTGTGTCCCTTTAGCAACCCTTGTACTGTATACTTCATAGAGCTCTTTTACCTTTTTCTGGTAGCATCTACTGTTCCTTGTTATTGCTGGAATATATGATTGCCACTCTTGATCATGATTGATTAAGTGTATAAGTTGAGACTGAACATCAATGCTTTTCTTTGATGGAGATTAAATTGTGTGTTGGCCAGCATTTCTAATAATGACCAAGCAAGGGTTTTCTTTACTTAGAACTATCTGTATGGTCTGAAAGAACATAATAATTGTAACTGGATCAGCCCTCTGACAGAATGTGGTGGTACATTATTAAATTATGGTTATGTAATAACAGATTGCATGCTCTTTACACTGGGGAGTATGTTATACATGAGAGAATATCATATGGTGGCAGATAGAGTTATTCATACAATTACAACAAATCATGGGCTATGGCCTTGAGTTCTGTTGCACCATCTGCCTTTGCAGGTCCAATAAAATCAAGTAGAACAGTGCACTGTTTGCCATCACAAATCCTTGTTTTTTTATTTGGTATTCTAACCAGCATGCACCCCAACCCCCATCCATACCACCACCTGGCACTCTCATTTCTTGTACTGACCCCAACTCTTTGTTAGTGACCTTGGGGGTAACAATGCAAAATCCATCATGTAGATCATGCAGTTTCCTACTTAGATCCTATTCTACTACTAAAGTTTGGGCAGTAAGGGTCAAGAATGTTATTTCAGTAAAATGTTTCTACATCTGACCTTTGTGGACCACAGGGATCAGAGGAAAGATGACCACTCTCTTGCAAAGGGTACCTGAAGGACGACATAAGTAGAGTTGTTATGACACACCATGTAATTCATTTCATGAAAAAATATTTATTGGTTCAGACAAGTCACAGAATTACTTATTTGGATTGTGGTCTTGACCATAAGCAGGGAGCATGGCAGTGTTTGGTACTATCCATCAAGTCTTGGTATATATTTGGGAAAATGTGAATTAAAATATCTTAGGTGGTTCAAAATTTATGTGTATGTAGTAAAAGGATACAAGTCAGAAAATCACCAATGTCTAAGTTTGTGTTTTGGCTTGACCAACATGGGTATAAGCTTGCTAGTAGCTTCCTGTGAGTCAGTGATCCTACCTGCTGTTTTCTCAGGATTAACTTCCACCAAACATATACCGGCCCCCCCATATAGTCTATAATGTGCTTATAAATGGTTAAACTATACAAAACTAAACCAAACCACATTCCTATGCATTGATCTTGCTTTTGAAGCAGGGAGCATGGCTATAGTATGTGATAGACCCTTTGTCCTATGATATACATGGGCAAGGTTTCTTGAAAATATCAACTATCATTAGGAAGTTGTTGCCTTGGCAATGAAGCATAAACAAACAAATGGGGTGGATGGACAGTGGAATAACATAATTCATCCAACTTAAGAGGGGCATATTAAAAGGAGAAAAATTAGGTGAATTCTGATTTAAAACATCCATTGATTATCGGTGCTTCTTTGGAAGCATTACATATACAGTATAATGATATTTTCTATATCTCTGTCCATCATATTTTTTCCTAATCACCTGGGTGGAAATTAATGTAATGTAGTGATATCCAATTCCTCAAGCTGAAAGGCACTCAGGAAAATGTTACTATTAACTTCTGTCTTTGGCTGGAGAACAGTATTTGAACCACATTACATATTTAATTAAACTTTCTGTAGGTCATGAATAGACATTAGTCACATACTGAAGCCCCTTGCCCCATATCTCTAGGTTAAGATTAATGGATGAAAAATATAATTCTTTCACATCTGTCCATATATGCATATATTTTTAAACCAATGATGACTTTGGCTTGTTATATATATTGACAGTGTCTGGCATATTCCATCACACCTGCTGCCTCATTTATCCAGAATGTCTTGTGTATTCACATTTTTATCCCTTGCCTCAGGGTGACACAACAACAGTCCTCAGTGTTAGTTGGTTTCCTTGTTCAGGCTGTCACTTTATAACTAGTTATCCAGGATCACACCAGAGCTGGTAACAACAAAATTTTGTACATCATGGTATGCCACAATTATAGAAGAATTTGCTATGTGTGCATTGTTGCATAGGTTGTCATCTTAACATTGTAACTAAAGTATGATGATTCAGCTATTTCTCTACATTTGACATCCAGTGGTTGTGGTTTCATGGGTTTAATGGAATTTTTCAGCACATGAAAGCTAGCTATACATGGCATCTGGTAAATCTAGTTGAAGAAGAACCAATATTAACCACTGACCCACAAGAAGCTCACAGCAAACTTTATTGTATAGCCACATTGGCTGAACCCAGGATTTGAACCCAAGTGAACAGAAGTGAGATGGCAGTGATCTATCCATTGTGCTGACATTAGTAATGTTGAATGTGATGCCAACACCAGTGTCAACACACAGGCAAGATGTTCATTAGAGAGAGAGCATGTAGGCATAAAAAATACACTGAACTCAATAAGCAAGAAAATATTTTCTGGACTAGAGAAATTACATACAAATAACACAGGAATTCCTGAAAATCCCATGATGATTCCCAAGCCTATGAAGGGATGCATGTACTTGACACATTCAAATATGTTGATAAATAACTAAATTATCTTATGCATTGTGGCATTTTGTATTTGTTTTATTTCCTGCTGGGGAAATGTGAGCTATATGCCTTTCACAAGGACACACTATTGTATCCAACCCAGGCTGGCCTGAGTGGGTATCGAACCTACAACCTCTAGATTATGAGTCTGATGCTGTACCAACTTATCTGTCACAACTCCTAGCATTATATTGCAACACATCTGGGTATATTCTCTCACCATTTAGGGGAGAGTTACACATGAGGAAGTACAGTAAGTTACAGTAGTAGTGCATCATGGGAAGTTAGTTTGTGATAAACATTGATTTTCCCTTGGTTGGGAATCCCTTCATGAATATCACCTTACATCATTACAGATATGTAAATATGTAATTGGAAGCAGATATGGAAGCCATCTAATAAAAATCAGATCAGTAGGGTCCGTCAGGTAGGAGAGTGGAAAAATGATTTTAATCAGATTGATATGCTCAGTATGTGGTCTTTGGCAATGGAGGGAGAGTGAATTTAAAAGCAGTTTTGAGAAATTTAAAACCGAAGCATATTAATAAATCTTAGTTGTTTATTTAATCTATTTGAATTAACAAGCTAACCTATTACCTATAATTGACCTATATATCTTTATTTAAAAGTTTTGCAAGTAACCTCAGAAATACTTGCAAAGTAAATTATTGTCTAAAATTATGTTATTTGCATAGGAAGATTTCTATAAATGTATGTAAATGTTGTTTATAAAGGAAGGTCTGTATACTGGTAGTATTTCATTTATATATTCAGTCATCAGATTGGGAGTTGATACACTTGCATTTATATATATATATATATATATATATATATATATATATATATATATATATATATATATATATATATATATATATATATATATATATAAAGAATACAAATCATATGGCGAATAACAACCCTTTCAAGGGTACTGGATCCACAAAGGGATCACGTGTGTCAGAGATTAATTAAATATTATATATATATATATATATATATATATATATATATATATATATATATATATATATATATATATATATATATATATATATATATATATATATATAGTATTCAGCATCCCTTAAGATGGCTCTTTGTGTGTGTGTGTGTGTGTGTGTGTGTAATGGGGAAAATATAATAAATGATGTGGGAAATGGCTATACCAGAATGAAGCAGTTGTGTTGTATATCTAATTTTTTAGTGTCCCAGATTACACTTAAAGCAATATATCATGCATATCCTCATTGAGACTCCCAGGTAAAACTGGCTTAAAGAGTGAAAATGACTATCTCCAGACTCCCAGGTACAGATCCTAAAACTGGCTTAAAGAGTGAAAATGACAATATCTCCATACTCCCAGGTACAGATCCTAAAAGTGGCTTAAAGAGTGAAAATGACAATATCTCCAGACTCCCAGGTACAGATCCTAAAACTGGCTTAAAGAGTGAAAATGACAATATCTTCAGCTGCTATTAAAAAAGTTTTATATATAATATATATTTTTTTTAAAGAAAAAGGCTGAAAATGAAAACAAAATCTCACTGAAGGCTTGTTTATGTCTCCCTGCTGGTGAGTAAATTCTACTAGTAATTGTTAAAATAGACCTGCTTCAATAGGAAGCCAAGGTCATTAGGTGGTAGCAGAGTGTAGGTATAGGCATGGCTTTGTCTTAACAGTACTGCTAAATTGCAAGTCTTTGAGGGCTTGAAATTATTTATTATTTTATCAACCAGTACCTGATGTAGGATCCATTCTAGAATTGAAAATTTAGGGTAAATTGTTACTTTTGAGAATAAAAAGGGAATTTTTGGAATTTGAGAGTGGGTTAAATGAAGAGATAAAATGGCTAGGCTAGGCTTTTAATAAAATGCTGAATTTGTGTGTATTTCTGTTCATTTTTCAGTGCAATTTGTGGAAAATAGAAATTTAGGAATTCTGCTTGATACCACAATCCCATACACTAGAGTAAACCACCTTGCATTATGATCATGAGTGCTATTTTTCAAGAAAACTTTAGTTTGGCATCCAAGTTTCTATAAATGCTGAGAAAACCCAAGAGGCAGGTTTTAAATTTTGCTGTGTCCATTTGTATCACTTTGTTAGATATTTACATAAACTGAGTTCACAAGTTATCAGGACCCAGTTATCTAAGGAGTTGTGTACTTAAAGCACAGTCAATCTCTATGGAAGTTCATGAGCATGACTGTCTAGCTCTAAAAAACCCCACTCATTAAATGCATTGCAACTGATAGCCAAAAAAGAAAACTGGACAACCAATTTTATTTAAATGCCATAAATTAAGCACTTTCTACTTCCTAATGACATGTACTGTATTCCCATTTTAACAAAAAAGATGAGGAAAATCATATCTAAATATGTAAAGTTGCAAAAGTAGCAGACTCCAACAGTTCTGCTACAGGGCCAAAATAAACGTTCTGAGATCATCTGTTCCCTAAGGTTCACAGATTTTTGGTTGTCATTTAACAATATCTTATGAAAAACTAACCAGCTTGACTTTTGCCTCTACACTAAGAGTATGAAATGGTTTTTCATAGGGTCAGAAAAATGTGATGAGTTTCATGATTACCCTAAGTACTTGCTTATAAGATGAGTCTAAGTTCAGACTGCACAGACCCAGAGCTGCCAGTGCATTATGCAATGGCAGATCTGGGTCTGTGCAGCTTGTTAGGAATAATCAGTAGAACAAAGAGCATAGACCCTGATATGCATGTGTATAATGCTAGAGCAGATCAGGATCCTTGTTTGCAGTTTTTACTCAACGTTTAAGTGAGTGTATATGGTGAATAAGTTGAAGATGATGTATTTGATTGCAATATAAGTTGCCCAGTTTGCATTAAAATGCAAATATCCAAAATCTCTGGAAACACTTATACAAATCTTAATATACCTTCAAGATCATTTGTTGTACCACAGGTAATTTTATTTACTCATCATTTGATGGGTGGCAAAGTCATCCAGGGTGCTTTAGAAATAACTGGATCCCACCTCTGTGACATTCAAGTCTTGGCTATGCCCATGTGGGTATAGGAGAAAGCTTGTCAGTAGCTTTCTATATGAGTTGGTGGCTCTTCCTGTGGTTCTTCCACCACTAGATAAAGTGGCCTATCATGTGCTGAAAAATGGCATTAAACCCATAAAACTAAACAAACTTATTTCCTTTTAACACATGCAGTAAATATATAGGTGAGACCAAAAGGAAATTTTAAGTGGAAATTGAATAAAACACCTCTGGGACATCTTCAGAAGTAAGAATAACCTAAACTACCTCTTGACAAACTGTTTAGTATCATATAACAGAAATTATTTTGTCCATTCAGAGATTTTAGTAGCAGTATTTAGATTTAACCAGGAGAATATCTGTGTGGGTACACAAAAATTACTATACAATGGGGATCAACATCTGTATTTACATTGGAGTCCAGGTATCATATTTTAATCATGTTTTTATATACACTTTTAAATATTTTTATGCTGTTTAAGATATATAACTAGTCATTTTGTACAGCTTTGATTTACATACAAACTACATTTTTTCATGTTGGGTTTTACAGGAGTAATTTTGTGGAAAATGCAATATGTTTTAAAAGAAAAAAAACATGGCAGAGAAAATAATGACTGAACCTATATTGTGATATTTTATGATGGTAGATATATTTTATGATGGTAGACATGATATTTTTTTATTATGATAGATGTGATATTTTATTATGGTAAATGTGGCTATTGGTCTCTTTGTAAAATGAGATAATTGTTTGCAAGGTCAGGAGCTCAAATTTTATTTGTTGGCTGCAATTCTTATGTGGTTGACATATTACACTGTTAGAAACTGCTACTCAGTATTTCTACAATCAATGATGTAGGTGGATAATACATGTAATTATGTTCTTGGATGGCTCAAAAAGAAGGTTAAAAGGACTCCATATTTTCTTCACTTCAGTTTTGGAAGAGCAAGTAATCTGATCCAGTTTTTCTCATTTGAGAAGTCTTAAATACAAATAATGAAATATGTATTTTGCACATTCCTTTTTTGGTTTTTCTAAAATAATTATTAATTGAGCCTTTGAAATCTGTTAAATAAGATACAGTGTCTGACATTATACTTAAATATCAGCAAATTGTTTGTGATTGATTCTTATAAATAATAATATTATGATCTTGAAAGGAAATATTTTTTCCTATAGATAAAATAAAAGGTTGAACAGGCAAGCAAGAATCTGTAATTAATTTGCCAGATGGCAAGTAATCTTTGAAATAGATCTTGGCTGAATAGTATATGATTTTTTGGATGAAAGATGTTACATACTTTCCGATTTTTTGGCCAATTTTTGGGAATAAGGATATAACTTCCAACAATTTATATTATGGTGAACAACTTTCATTTAAGACAGATTGTAGAACATAATGCCCTGCCAACATATTTTATGTGACTCATGATGTTACTTTGTTCACCTGTATTTATTCTTTTATTATAGACATAATTCAAGTTTTGTGGTGCAGCCTGTTTAGTTCAATTCAGGCTTGAGTCTGGCTGATGTTAGTGTTTGAGTTGTGCAACCCTGATTTAGGAAATGAGGTTTCTAATTTTATAAACAGTTTACATTTTATCTCATTTTATTCCTGGTATCATCTGGTGTGCAGTTGAAAAATCAGACCTATGAGAGAAAGAGTTGTACTTTTTTTCACAGTTTGATTTGCAATTATACCCACTTGTTCATTATCAATTTACACAGGCTTTCTGCATTTGAAAAATTTTCAGTTGAATACTTGTACTGCAGACAAATGCCTTGGAACTTAAACTTGTTCTATATCAATGTTACTGATGGTAGATAAATTATGCTAAATCTGCTGGAAATGCGACACTTCCAACTGGATGAGCATCTTGAACAAATGACTTGTCCATCCTCAGCCACAACTTGCAAATACAAGTGTATGAGTGGAATTTTATAGCCTTTGTAAAATATATTTAGTGCACACTGAAGCTCAGATTTATAAAGACTTACAAAAATTGTACTAATAGCTGTCTTGCTTGGCCCTCAGCATTAAGAGGTTAGTGTTAGGAATGTCAGCCTGGTGTCGGGATAATATGACTGGGTGAGACATCATGCAACATGTCTTCGGCATGATGCCCCAGTGCTAGACATCACTATAAACT